TTTTTTTTTTTTTTTTTTTTTTTGCAAAAACGTTTAAAAAATTACCCAGCTTGTTTCCAGGAAGGATCCTGCTGCATGCCATTAGCTCCCCCTTGCAATCCTTATTACCTCGTCTTTTCCATGTCTAGGTGATGTATGCTTCCCCTTTATTAAAAATGAATGACTCCATTTTCTACCGTTTCCTCGTCCATCATACTGTCCTCCTGCGGTGTGAGTAATTGTGAAGCTTCTAATTCTTAATTAAAGTGGATTGGGTGCACCGTGGAAATAAATAATGAGGGATAACGGTAGCCTTAAAAAAAAAAAAAAAAAAAGCTAGCCTCCCACTGAATGGCTGGTTGGTGCCAGGGATGTTGGGACTTCTCCCTGGGTCAGCAATGCACAGCCTTCCAGAGACCAGGATAATAGGCTTTGAAAAGGCTACAGATGGATTGCCTTGGTTATCTCTTGACGGTCTGAGTAATAAAGTAACATCAAGAGATGAAGATTTATCTTTATAACACAAAGAGGTAAAGATAAAGAGCTAAAGAGCTAAAGTGTATGACGAATGGCTGCGGGAACTGGGCATGTCTGGTTCAGGGATGGCGAACCTTTTAGAGACCGAGTGCCCAAAAACCCTCAGGGGCTGCCACAAAGAAGAGGGGGGTCAAGATATTCTCCAAAGCGCCTGAAGGCAGGAGAAGAAGCAATGGATGGAAACTCATCAAGGAGAGAAGCAACCTAGAACTAAGGAGAAACTTCCTGACAGTTAGAACAATTAACCAGTGGAACAACCTGCCTCCAGAAGCGATGAATGCTCCAACACTGGAAGTTTTTAAGAAGAAACTGGACAGCCATTTGTCCGAAATGGTATAGGGCAGGGGCGTCAAACTCGCAACATCACGTGACGTGTCATGATGTATCGTGACTTTTTTGCCATTGCCGGCAATGGGGTGAGCGTGGTTTCGCTATGATGCATCCGGCCCGCGGGTTTCCTGCTTGTTCAGGGAGTTGGACTAGAAGACCTCCAAGGTCCCTTCCAACTTTATTATTATTATTATTATTATTATTACTATTATTATTATTGTTGTTGTTGTTGTTGTTGTTGTTGTTGGAAGGGACCTTAGAGGTCATCTAGTCCAACCTCCTGCTCAGGCAGGAAACCCTATACCATTTCAGACAAATGGCTGTCCAGTCTCTTTTTAAAAACCTCCAGTGTTGGAGCACTCACCGCTTCTGGAGGCAGGTGGTTCCACTGATTAATTGTTCTCACTGTTAGGAAAAGTAAACATAAAAGTGTAAAAGTAAGAGCAAAAACAAAAGAGAAAGTTAAACAAATTTGGCTTTCCCATTGCTTGTAAGGTTGCAAAAGGTGATCATGTGACCCTGGGACACTGCAACCATCATAAATATGTGCCGGTTGCCGAGTGTCCAGATTTTGATCCCATGTTCGTGGGAGATGCTGCAATGGTCTTGCGTGAAAAAGGTCATAGGTCCCTTTTTTCAGGGACAAAACTTCAAACACTCATCTGCTTCCTCCTGAAGTTTCCAGATCATACTTGTGGACTTCAACTCCCAGAATTCCTCAGCCAGGCACTCTGGCTGAGGAATTCTGGGAGTTGAAGTCCACAAATCATAAAAGGGCCAAGTTTGAAGACCCCTGATGTAGATGTACTCAGTGTTGGAGAAGACTCTTGAGAGTCCCTTGGACAACAAGGAGATCCAATCAGTTGTTCCTAAAGGAAAAACAACCCTGGCTGTTCTTCGGAAGGGCAGATGTTGAAGCTGAAGCTCAAATAGTTTGGCTACCATTTAATGAGAAGAGAGGAGTCATTGGAGAGGACCCCGATGTTGGGAAAGATGGAAGGCAAAAGGAGAAGGGGATGGCAAAGCATGAGATGGTTAGATAGCGTCATTGACACAATGAACATGAATTTGGGCAAATTCCAGGAGACAGTGGAGCAGTGGAATCTATGGTCCATGGGGTCAGGAAGAGTCAGACATGACTTAGTGACTGAGCAACAACAACAACAATAACAAAGATGTACTCAAAGAAGAAGAAGAAACAACTCAACAATGAACAATCTTAGAAGAAAAGATTCACCAACAAGCCATCTTAGAAGAAAATCTAAGATGTCTAGCTTGTATTTTAAAAACTACACATGGTGATTGTCTGCAAGAGGGATTCATAATTCCTGTTTCTCTTTGTTTTCCAGCTGGTGGGATTCGTGTACGCCTGTTACGTTGTCAGTGTCTTTACAGAAGAAGAAGACAGTTGTGAGTATTTGCTGTCAGAGATTGCCGTCAGTGTCTATTGATTAAATGGCTTTCTTTTCAATGTTTAGTCGACTGAAGCTGAAGATGTCGGTACACGAGAACAGATACTGTTACCAATGGGGAACAAATTGGTTCAACTGGCATTTCAAGGCAATGTTAGGTGTTCAGATGTTTTGTTTTGTTTTAAAATGAACTGAAACAAAAGGACGATGCCTTTACAATCAAGTTGTTCTCCATGTCTATGGAGATTCTCAGTCATCCAGATTACGGTTGTCCCAAAGATGCTTTTTCAAAGGGCAACTGGACTAATGGCCAGGTGACTGCAAGGAGTAGAAATCCTTCCATCCTCCACCCTTCAGTCAGAACTGAAGAAGCTTCTTGGACGAGAAGCAGCATGTCTTCAAGGAAAAATAAAGTCCAGTTGCCTTCTGAAAAAGCACGGTTGGGACAAATTGTTCTCCAGTTAAAAGGTTTACAGTAAAGCAGGCTTTGGTGAAATAATCCACAAAATACATTGTACTGGGGAAAAAATGTTTGCAGAAAATGTGGTGGTTTAGCAGAATGGCCTTTAGATGTCATCTGCTGGGTCATTTTTTAAGTCCTCAGGACACTTTATCATATAGTGTAGTCTGGTAAACAAAGCAAAAAATAATAATGAAAGAGGACAGGAAGACATCAGGATGAAGTTCAAGCTTTTTCTTCCTTCTTTTTCACAAAAACTCTTCAAAGAATTCCCTGATGTCACGCAGATGTGCAAATGACCATTGCACACTGTTTTTAACATGAATATTAACAGTCCAGGTTCGATTTAACCTACCTATAATGTAGCTCCTTCCTTCCTTCCTTCCTTCCTTCCTTCCTTCCTTCCTTCCTTCCTTCCTTCCTTCCTTCCTAGAGGAATTGTAGGAGACTGAATATGGAGGAAGAATACATTCATAGGCAAGTAGAGCAATCCAATGATGCATCAAAGAACAATCTGTCAGAATATATCAGGAAAGTAATAAAAAGGCAAGAGGAAAGAAGAAAGGAAGATGGAAGAAAGGAATGGAGAGGGGAGAGGGAAGAAGGAAGGAAGGAAGGAAGGAAGGAAGGAAGGAAGGAAGGAAGGAAGGAAGGAAGGAAGATGAAAGGCAGGGAGAGAGGGAGGGAGAAAAGAAGGGAGGAAGGAAGGGAGGAAGGGGAGGGAGGAAGATGGAAGGGAGGGAGGGAGGAAAGAAGGAAGGAAGGAAGGAAGGAAGGAAGATGAAAGGCAGGGAGAGAGGGAAGGAGAAAAGAAGGGAGGAAGGGAGGGAGGAAGGAAGATGGAAGGGAGGGAGTGAGGAAAGAAGGAAGGAAGGAAGGAAGATGGGGAGGGAGGGAGGGAGGAAGATGAAAGGCAGGGAGGGAGGAAGGAAGGAAGGAAGGAAGGAAGGTCAGTACTTAAGCAGAAGCAGATGTCAGCCATGTCAGCCAACTTGAAATCTTGGTTTTAATTTTTACATCAGAGTTTAGAATTGCTCTCTGAGCTTGGAAGGGGGGAAAAAAAACAACTTTGAACCTGGGTCACTTTCTCAGAGACTCTGGAATTGCTGCTTAAAAATATATTGGCTGGCTCAGGAGATAATGGTATTAGATCACTAATCCTCCACTAAACAATGCATTAACTTCAGTTGCTCTGTGGGTATATTTTCTTCCAGCAGATCAGAGAACGAAAATTATAAAACCGGGATTAGGGTTTAAGTATGTCAATTGCTTTTCAGAATTGCCTAAAGATGTGTTCTCGATCGTGGTCTTTATTGATCCAAATTGCAGTAGAGCTGACCTCTGGATTTCTAGGGCTTTCAATTAATTGCTTGCCTTGTTTTTCACCCTCTTTTCCTGAGCCAAGATAAATAACGGTAACCAGAAACTCTGAAAGCAAATTGCATCGCCTTTCATGTGCCTAACATGATTTATCGACCAATTGGAGGCAGGTTCATTTTTGAAAGGAGACGTCTCAACTTCTAAGACATTACTGTTTGGACCTGCGGAGGCCAATCTTTTTGAAAAACTTCATTTTTTTATTTATTTTTAATTTAAAGCATCCCCACATGAGCAAAATTTAGATATTTGGCAACTGGCTCGTATTTATGACGGTTGCGCTGTCCCGAGGTTACGTGATCCCCTTTTGCGATCTTCTGAGAAGCAAAGTCATTGTGACTAACTTAACAACTGCAGTGATTCACTTAGCGAGAAAGGTCGTAAAAGGGAGCAAAACTCACTTCACAAATGTCTCACTTAACGACAGAAACCTTGGGCTCCCTTGTGGTCATAAGCCGAGGACTACCTATACAAAAATGAAACATTTAGAACAGACATGTCAAACACAAGGCCCGGGGGCCGAAGTGGTTTCATGTGGCCCGCGAAGCCATCCTGGAAACAGTGAGGGAACGGCCCCCGCTGCCTTCACCCTGGCCCAGGCCGGCCGGGAGCCAGTGTACAATTTTGTGGTGGCCATCTATGCTGAAACGCATTCAGTCTTAGCTCCACAAGACCGTCTGGAAACAGCGAGGAACCAGCCCCTGCCGCGTCGGCCCCGCCCCCTGGGTGCCTGCTGGGGAGGTGTCCCCCTTTGTGAGGAATGAAGAAATGGACCATGCCTTGGCGCTTGCCTCGGTCCCCCCCCCTTCTGCCAGAGACCCCCAGATCTGTCCCACTCCTGCCCAGGCCCCCACAGGCACCCTTTTATTTTATTTATTTATTTTTTGGATTTATATCCCGCCCTTCTCCCGTAGGACTCAGGGCGGCTGACAATCTATTTAAAATACATACAAAACAATACAAATTTAAAATTAATTAAAAGGAATATTTAAATAATTGTCGAATTTTAAAATATAATTAAAACCCCCCTAAAAATTACCCTAGGCCAGTCCTGCAAGCTGGAATA